AGGCTCGGCCACTGCCTGCGAACGAGTAGCCATGCCAGCGCTTGGAGAAATGGCTCACGGTACTCGGACGTAGGGAACGAGGGAGTGGCATAGGCAAAGGGCCAATGATATACACAACGAGGCAGAGACCTAAAGGAGAGAAAGACGGAGTGGCATAGGCAAAGGGGCAGTAACATAGGTAAAGGCACAGTAGCGTAGGCAAAGGGCCAGTGACGTACACAACGAGGCAGAGACCTAAAGGAGGGAAAAGGGAGTGGCATAGGCAAAGAGGCAGTAACATAGGCAAAGGTACAGTAGCCTAGGCAAAGGGCCAACGATATACACAACGAGGCAGAGACCTAAAGGAGAGAAAGAGGGAGTGGCATAGGCAAAGGGGCAGTAACATAGGCAAAGGAACAGTAGCTTAGGCAAAGGGCCAGTGACGTACACAACGAGGCAGAGACCTAAAGGAGAGAAAGAGGGAGTGGCATAGGCAAAGAGGCAGTAACAGAGGCAAAGGTACAGTAGCTTAAGCAAAGGGCCAGTGACGTACACGAGGCAGAGACCTAAAGGAGAGAAAAGGGCAAGAAAAAAGTGATGTAGGGAAAGTGATAAAAGAAATGCAGTCAATCAAGGGAGAGGTCAGGGAAAAACTAAGAAAAAGCTTCTAAAAAATAAAAATAAAAATAATTTTGTAGTAGATTAGAGAGAAATGATAAGTTACAAATAAATTAAAATAGTACAATAGTAAAAGAATATTTTCAATAATTTTTTTTATTCATTTACGCGCAAAATTTGTCATGTGTAAATAAAACTGCTCAATGGAAAAGAGGGCCCATAAATGTAGTTGGCATCCCTTTCTCTTGTTTCACTCTGCCCATCCCCATACGTAAGAGGGTAAAGGAGGGAAAAGTGCTGCTCACCTCTGCTGGCTTGCGATCACCGAGTCCAGTTTGCGCAGGACGGCGTCCATGGAGCCATGCAGCCAGTTCTCCATGCGCACCTAGGGATGGCAAAGAAACATCTTTCAAACACAGATTTAATTAACTTCGATATATTTTCCTGAATTTTCTAGAGATCGATATTTTTTTCTCAGAAATGTTGATGTTTTTAACAAAATATTTTATAATATAAATACTTGTTTTTGTGGATAGCTGAAAATCAACAGCCACCGACACCTGTCTCTGTTTTCGATGCATAGACGGATCGTTAACCATTTACTATTTGCCACCTTCCTTGTTGCGAGGTCAGGGGATTTATTTGAGAAGTTCATACTTCTTCACAGGTAAATTTGGGTGCGGGAGATTCCTTTGCGGATATTTTTGTTATTTTCAGGAAGTCTAACTTCATTATAATTTTAACAATACAATGGTCATGTACCCGGTGAAAAGTAAACTATTAACAAAAGTGAATAAACTGGTTCAATAGCTTCTATAGATACCGCAGCCTGAAGGCAAAAATAATTGTGTAAAATAAAATATATATTATATTTTTTGACGATTCTGTAAATAGCAATATCGTTAAACTGCTCGTTAAAATACTCGTAAAATATTGATTAGATAATTAAGATGACAATCAAATTTAAGCCAATACACTCAAAACTAAAACACTAAAAAAATGGGATAATACAGTTAGTTTCATACTACTTGAATCGTCGATTGTTTTTGCGAATTTTTCATCGACATCAAAAATCTTTTGATGGTGTATCGAAATATCGATCCATTGATGTATGGTAACATTTTTATTAAAAGTCCCTTCAAATTCACGAGGTGGCAGGAGAGTGTCATGAAACCGGCATCGTCGTTACGACTTAAATTTTTGGTAATGGACATAGGAAATAGGGATGCGACAACGATGTCGATGAATTCCAAACATCGATGTTTCTGTAAAAATATCGATGTTTTAAACCTCGATGTATTGAAACCGATGTTCTTTAATATTGATATTTTCGGTTCGATGTTTTTACGTTTTCAATATATTGTTCGTAGATGAAAGATGCCCATAATCACAATTTTGAAGCAATTACTTATGACACCAATACTGATTATCGAAACGAACGCGGTTTGCTCTATCTTCATTGGGCAGACTACCATCCCTTGCTCGAGATGATCCTGAAGGCCTGGTATTTCCTTCGTCTTTCCTGTATTTCGCTCATAGAAACGATATATAACTTCGTTTTTAGTTAAATTTTAGTTATAAATTAATAATCAAAGCCATTATAAAGTTAAATTTTGTACGAATTAAGTTACTAAACAAACTTGAAAACATCCATGTTTAAAAACATCGCTTTGGTCGATGCATATTTGCCACAGATGTTTTGATTTTAAACATCGGTGTTTGGCAGCATCAATGCTTCCTTGTCGATGTCGCAACACTACTAGGAAGGGATTCTAGAAGCCCATACGTCACCCAAGTTTTTAATTTTTTTTTTTTTACTAAATAAATCAAATCAAACACTCCGACTTGGATGCCAACACGCCCTCTCCTCCCAGCTCGTGTCCGTGTCTACATCTGAGGGCAATGCACTTGCACGCGCACCATCTTGCCCTCCATCTCGCGCTGCTTCTGGCGGCAGTCGCGCACGTCGCCCTCAATGCGTGCCACGCGCCGTGCGATGGCCTTGAGGTCGTCCTCCGGCGGCTCCTTCAACTGCAGCTGCTGCACGCCCTCGGCCACGCCCTCGACGCCCTTCTCGGGCACCTCTGGGCCCTTCGGCGACTCCGGGTGCTCCTCCTGCAAACGCCGCCACGCGTCACGCTGCGATCGAGACCGGCGAAGGGGGCTCAGGGCATCACGCGATATTCAACGCGCAACTTTTCTTCAACGATGACCTCGCTTCCCCCCTCCCCGACACAATAAACAGTCGAAGGCAAAAGCTCGCAGCGAGCACTGATGACATTCCGAACACATCTTCACTGGCGCGAAATAGAAACCACCTAATGAAATGACCGAAGGAAGTGAAGATTTATCACAAGAGGTACATCGAACTCCTGGCAAAGTTCGAACGCAAATTATTGAGAAAGTTGCCAAGGCATGACTGATTTTCCAGAGATTGGCATTGCTTAAGAAAATCTAGTAGCCGATTTCGTAACTAATGCCCACCACTCTACCCGCATTTCTTCAACCCATCGTTCAAGAGCAGTTGCGCGAGTAATGCCACTGCAGTGCCTATGACCCGGAGGTCCTCGGGTTCGAGTCACGTCGGCGGCCCTACCGGCTAACACTAGCTACATTGCTAGATCGAATTCAGCCGCTATTTGGAGGAGAATTCTGGCGGCCGGCAGCTCTGATCGGTAGTTTTCCATGGTTTCTCCGATCAACGCCAGGCGAATGCCGGAGCAGTACCCTAACAAACGGGCCACGGACTGCGCGCGATCTTTCCGTCCTCTTCCTTGTCCTATTCTCACCACTTTTACACACACACATGCACTACACTTTCACACATGTCGGAAGACCAATCGGGAGCTGAGAGCTTGGCCCGGTAGGGGCGGTGCCCCGCTGAGGGGAGATACCTGGTCGGGAAAACCCCACGAACCGCCGACCAGATCGGGCCGAATCTCGTCATCCAGCGCCATCTCTATTCAATCACTGTTTCAATTGGTTATTTCATGTTTCTGGGCGCGTCATTATTAGTCACAATAATGTAGTGCAGATTTTCAAACGGCAGGGGTCTTTCCCCGATAAATGGCGAGATCTGGAGCAAACATACACGCCGACGTTTTAGTTTTTTTCCCCCAACTTGCGGGGTTTTCGTCCTACAAGAGGGGCGCCACCCCAACCGGGAACAAAAGCTTCCTCTTTGGTCTCCCGTCATGTGTAGTAGTAGTTCAGTGCATGTAAGTGTGCGTGTTTGTAAGTAAGGGGGTGAGGATACAAGAGGAGGAAGGAAAGATCGCGCGTGGTCCGATTGTTAGGGATCTGCTCCAGCATTTGCCCGATGGTGATCGGAGAAACCACCGAAAATCAATCATAGCAGCCTGCCACCCTCCTCAAGGCGGCTAGTGGCTGAATTCAACCAAGCTGTATAGATGGCGTCCAAAAATACTGGCATTATCGGGACGCGAATCGTACGACCTTCAGGACAGAGGCACTGCCATGACATCAGTTGACGCCCTGAGCCACCGGTACCAGTGCGTTTTAGTCCAAAAGGGGAACGAACGGTGCTTAAATTCAAAGTGGGGTCAGGAGGGCGACAAAATCCAAATCAAGAGAGTATGGCTGCATACTAGGTTATAGTTACGAACACACATCTACGTTGATAACGGATTAATGTAATTTTTAACTTACTGAATAGGAGCTCGCTTAAGAATATGATGTAGCCTAGGAATAGTTACTAATGAGACCCATATCGTTATGATGTATTATTGATGGCTTTGTTAAAAAACATTGTAACTCCACTCACAATCATTTGTGAGTTAATATCATTTCTGGAGACCTCTCGTTCTTATCTAACTAGCGTGCAAAGATTACGTGTCCACGAAACATTCTTGCTCTATAAGTAATCGCACTATTAAAACCGTTCAAGCTCTGTTTTCTCGAAATTAGAAATTCTGGACATACAAAATGAGTGCACGAAGTAATCGATATTAAACGAGTAAAACATGTTTTTTTCTACGACGGCCTCAGAGCCAGTTGTAATACATTTTATAATATATTAATAAAGCACATAGACACTGATCCAGTTTCTTTCAATAACGACTAGTTTGTTTTGTCGATTTGACGTGAGCATCAAATATGGTAAAAATGTTACTCTCAAAGTTTACGATAAATGTGTACAGTCCCTCTGCGTGTGCTCTAAAGGCCCATTCACAATGCAAACATAAACATAAGGATGGCGTTAATATAAGAGAGCTACGTCCATAAGCGGACTCATTCACAATGCGTTCGCATCAGCATAATACGTAAGACGTTAATTTAAAAGCTTGCAAGCTTCTGCGCTTGTGCTTAAGTAACTCATAAGAAGTTAACCAATCACAGTACGTTACCTTAAAATCGAGAATCGAAGTCGATAGACGAACTAATGCCATTTACACTAGATGGCGTTGGACAAACAAAAGACCAGAGTACTGCAGAAGTGTACTGTACAGATTCACACTATTCACAAAGAACTCGCACACCAGCTTAATTGTCTCTACCGCTAGTTTAAACAGAACCCATGGGCCATGGACACAGTCGGTCTCACATCTAACGATCTCTAGTCGATTTACACATCTAACCAATAGTAAAATAGAATGTCTCAGCCAATATAATATCGTATTTCGCTTACGTTATACATTGATTATATATTGTCAATCTCATGTACAAGTACTTAATGAACGTTCTATCTCTAATTTATGAAAACTCTTTGCAATATTTCCGTATAATTGTAATTGTACTTTGCAAATGTGGTCACCAATGACCTAGTTGTTTCTAAGGCGACATTAAATTTTTTTTAAGTATTCGATCAATGACAAAATAGAGAATTATGTCGACGTACAGTAAATACTGGCATACTTAGAAAATTTTGTTTAAATTGACGTCCTTAAAATTTTCATGTCACTTCTTCATAAGTAAAAGCTGCCGAAACCACCACCTTCAAGACAAACGTCTTTCCGTGACACCTATTGATTTTTCCTTACGACTAAAATAAAAATTCCCACTTTTAATAAGTCCGGTGATCAGCGGCCAGCCTTTTTTAATGGCCACAACTTCCTTCTGCGATTTAACACAATATAAAGTGCGAGAGTGGTGGAGATAACGGTTGATTCAGTACTTCTCAGCGACGGGTCGTGTAGTCAGGTTTCTTAGAACAGAGATATCTAAAGACACGCAGGGAGATTAATATCAATTTAAGATAACAAGAGATTATTTTCATGCATGGCCTCACGTTTTATTCAGGATGAAAAATGCAGTTTTAAGTGAAGTTTTCTGGGAAGTTCAGAAAGTGTCTAGTACGTGTGTGGCAGAAAGTGTCTAGTAAGACTATACGCATTAAGTCGAAGATATGTCTGATACTCGCCGAGAATTAAAATATTGCAGCGGAAGAAATTCACAGAGAAAATATACCAATATTTTTGAGTGCGGAGGGACACGTTTACAAAATATCATTATATAGGGAATTGAATTATAAAAAAGGAATTCGTCCCAATCAGTTTTTGCCCAAATTTTGCAAGTACTAAGAACAACAAATTCTCTTAACAGTATTTTTTAACAATATTTGGATGATTTTCTCATACATCTGTGAATATATTCAATTTTATGAGTAATGAATATCGATCACTATTTTAACAGATATTCAAAATCAAATTAAGATTATTACATGCTAAACAAAGACAATCTTTAATTAATTTTAAATCTTTGATAAAACAATGGTCGATATTTATAGAATAATAACTGAACAGAAGAGTTAACCTTGTATTGATTATAAACTTCATTTTCAGCTGTAAACCTGTTAAATTTATAATAACAGTTATTTACGAAATATATATCGTAAGATAATAAGTGTTTGATGGCCTATGGAATATTTTAATAAGATGTTACGATACAAATATACAAAGTTTAATCCGCAAAACTCCGGAGTGCAATGCAACCTCTCTGAAAGACCAACCCTGTTAAACGACCATCCTTTTCAACGAATTTTTTTTCTTGAAAAGGGCACTGAAACATTTTTAATATAGCTTTCGCGCAATTGCAAGCAATAAGTTGATCAAGTTTTATCGCCATCAGAAGAACGGTACGGCAGAGCTTAAAACACTAACACACAAACATGCGCAAAAGTTATAGTCATGCTACAACGGGAATGTGCGTATGTCTGCATATTGCATCTATGTCTGGACATAACGCAATATGCACACACGTGTGTGTGCAAATGCATATTTTATTGCATATAAATCACAGCGCTACCCATGACCCATTGCTGGATATTTTTATTGAGCTAAGAAATGCGAAAAAAGCACTGAGCTCCTAAGATGTAGAATGTGCCCTGCGTATCTAAATGAAACGAAAGGTGCTAGAACAGCACATACTTTATCGTATCATTGCAGTTACGTAATATTGATATATTGTAATTTCTGATACTAAAAACTCAGCTACAACTCGAAAAAGTCCAATTCAAACGATGCGCCTGTGCCACGAACAGTTCTCATTTCTTACTTTTACAATATAAATAAACTTCAATACATTTAACTATTGAATTAGTATTTGCAGCACATGCAGAAGACAGAATAATATTTCACACAAGATTGCCTTGACTACATCGAAGAAACCTAACAATATCTAAATACCAACATTAGGGATCAAAACATTTTAAAGTAAAAGAAATGTTTCTGTTAGTTTTACGTTAAATATACTACCTTCCTTAAATCTCTTTCCTTTCATAACATCGTCAACTATATCGTAAGATTAACTTACGATATAGTACACAATCACAAAAATCCTAAGAATTTTTAGCCACCGCGTTGCCATTTTGCGAACGATTATGACAACGCGTCAAACGAAGCGTTCCTTATTAAGCAACTTTTGTCATTAACCGACGGTGGTCGCTTAATGCAGGTTTCACAGTACTGTTATTTCCGTTTTTATTCGACAATTGGTTTTGCGAAAATGGTTGGGCAAAAACATTCATGGAGTGTAAGGCTGTTTTGGGGCGGATTTTGAAGACCTAAAACTTTGCCAACAATGATCAATACAATGCTCTTAAAATGCCCTAAAAACAAAAACAAAAAATGACATAAAAAATGTTATCAAAACCAGGTCAAATTAACAACGTAAGCTCTTGAATGATACTGATGTAATCGAGGCTTCCTCGTTTTGTTCAGCTTGCAAACTTTCAGTTCGAATTGTTCTTTATCAGGAAATCTGTCTTAGTTATAGCGAAATCGGCCGAACCAACAATAGCGCTGGTAAAACCTTTGATTACATGCAACGGCTGACATCACACTTTCTGAGCGAAGAAATCTAATAGGTTGCAACTCGTAAATATTACTTAAAGCGAGTATCATGAAAATGATATTAAAATAGATGAAATGATCGAAACTGCTTCAAAAATTACGATAGGGGCAATGGCTTATTCAAAATCGACACATAGTCACATAAAAATGGGTTATTTCCTCGTGTCATACCATAAAACTAAAGCGTATACTAAAAGATTTCTAAAGCTAAAAATGACATTTCATTGAAATCCGCCTCCTAGTTATCAAGAATATATATATATATATATATATATATATATATATATATATATATATATACATCAGGGCGAAGAAGACCAATAAAAGTTTCTCAGTAGTAGCAGGCACCTTCAGAAAGATTACGCAAACTCGAGCAAGTGCAAGTCACCAGTGTCGGCTGCAGACTTGCAGAAATCCCAACTTCAACACAGCAATTTTTGAGGGGATTTTAAGTCTCACTCCAAGAACATCTTATTGTCATCGCACAAAGATATATCTGAGTTTTAAGACGCCTCTGAAAGCTGTCGTTTTCTGATTCTTTCATTCTTAGGCCACGAGGTTTTTCCCAGATTATACATGAAAAATGTCTTACCACTTCATCGGACTTGTCTATGGTGTATCGCACCATTATCAAAGTCGGATGTCAACCTGTAAAGAGAGAAACTGCAATTATTACTATTAACTTGAAATCATTAAAAGTAATCACTTAAAAATAAACCCAGATAATGAATAAATTATTGAAAAATGGGTAAAATACATTTATCAAAGCATTTCTATTTGCTGTGGAACAAGCATAACACACACAGCATATGTCTGTCGAGAGGTTGATCTCTCAAAAAGATTTATATTTTTTACATTTACTAGAATTGTATAATTGTCAACAATATTTGAGATGCGATATTTCCAAGTTCAACGTTTATCAAGCGATAAGCCAAAATATTTAACAGCGGTATTGCTATCTAACGAAGGAATATTAAAATTATTAATAACTAGGAGACTAGGATTAGTAGCTCTGCACAGTGTGAGCATTTTTGCTTGTGTTTTTTAGAGAGTAAATTTTGATTCTCCAAGTTTTTGTGAAATAAAAAGAAACCTTTTCGCGATTGGTGTTTATCCACTATGTTGGATTATATCAAATACTAATTTTTGCTCATAAAGATAATAAAACAGGGTAGAAAAACGTATCTACTTTATTTTTACTTATGAGTATTTAATTCTTGAAAATAAATCCATGTTAATTGTAGAACTTGTTTATATCATACAAATTGTGGAACTCATAAAACACACTATATAGGCTGGTTGACTTAGTGATACCGTCCGCGTAAACTACCGAAGACAGCGTGCAATATGTGCAATATAAAAAAATTACAAAAACCAAGATTTTCTGAAAAACGACTTCAAGTGATTTCTTTAAACTTTGGTAGCGATGGTGAGAAAAGTATTTTATGAAATGACAATCACCATATTCCTCTATTATTCTGTATTTTTTTTCTTCAAAATTTACTAGCCCCTCACGTCGTTAATATTTACATTAGCGGCGATTTGTTCACATTAATGCATTTACGAGTATGTGTGCTTTAAATGCTATTTAATAAAGTTTCTTGAAAACTCAATTGTTTTCTGTGAAAACGAGCTCAAAATTCCGTATTAACAGAAACGCTCAAACACTATTTTTCAAAAATGGCTCAATTTTTTTTCTTCTGATTTTTCGTACGGATAGCACAAAATGCACTGTATAAGGTGACAAAAAATAACTTTGCTGTATTCTTTTGTTGCTTTCAAAAATTATCCCCAAGAGGTCGTGGCAACACCTCCGCAAAGGCCTTGGCGCTACGTCACAACTAGGGTTGCCACCTTGCCAATTCCAGAAAACCGGAGACCGCTGCGACCGGGGGGGGGGGTTAATTACTGAAATCTAAAAATAAATTGACGCAGACTTTTATTTATTTCTTTAAAATATATTTACATATATTTGGTTTCTAGTGATCTATAAATAATTAAGATTTATTCAAAATAGTTTTGAATAAATGTTAATTAACCGTTTTCTTAGTTTTCGCACAAGTAATACATGACGTACAGTTCCCACGAATCACAAATGTACCTTTATCTTAATGTTTCCAAGAAATAATTGTCCAAGAAAAAACGAACGAAAATTCGATCTTGTTCAAAATGAAGATATCGAATAGCATTCCCGGAGGATTATTCTTGACACTGCTGCGCGATGCGATTCTCGCATAATCACTAGATGCTGTCTCTGATATGCGTAGAAAGAAAGAAAGAGACAGCGGATGGCGATAACACGAGAATCGCAAGACCAATTTTCATAGTTCTGACATCTTATTTAATCAATGAGAAAGAAGGAAAAGACTAGATTTCTAGATGCAAATAGAAATTTTTAGCTTTAATTTTATAAGGTTGAAATCTATTTTATATTTGCTAAAAATTTGAAAATGTTAATATTGAAATTGAAAAAATATAAGAAAAAAACACAATCGGAAAGATAATTTTTCAAAAACCGGAGACCGGAGATGAAGCTCAAAAACCGGAGTCTCCTGTCTAAAACCGGAGAGGTGACAACCCTAGTCACAACTGAACAGAGTGCGTCACCAGTAGTACTGGTACGTGTCGCCAAATTAATTCAAATTTGGTGCCATGCTTCGAACATCTCAGGTTCGCTACTCTTTGAAGGCATTTATGAAGGAAAGATCATACATTTCAAACTTCCCGCCTTCGATTTCGGCCAAAAACCGCTCGAATTCTTTCCCTATTGACAAAAAATAAATTTTTTGTACAAAGCACTTTTAAAAATTCTCTTTAACTGCTTCGAAAAATCACCAAAAAGTTGAACTACCTCCTGGGCAGCTGCGACGAAAGATTTACTCATTGTAGGATTTCCCAGAAGCCAATTTTTTTTTAAATCAGACGCTACGAGCTCGCATTGTTAGAAAATCGGAGGAGCAGCGACCATTTTTGTAGCGATAGTGCTGAGAAGCTAAGCAAAATCTTATTGGGCATATTGAAAGTTGGTCGTACGGTGGCAGCAAGCAATTATCGTGTAGTTTCTTTGAACCTACACTCTGAGACGCGGAGCGAAAAAACAGAAAGCATAAATATCGTGAAATTCGAACGGAGAACGTTTATTTTCGTAGACAGAGGTAACCATGACAATATCACCAATACTCATTGATTCTTACAGCAAAGTAATATTCTTTGTCATTTATGTTCGCCTTTTTCAGAACACTCTCATCTGATGAGAACACAAATGGCTATGAACAAAACTTCTCGTCGCAGTTTCTGCAAATGCTCTCCTAATCATCGAAGCAATATTTCGCAGCTTTAACATGAAGGTATAAAAATAATTCTCATACTCCTAGGGGACGTTGGTTTTTAACATCTGTAACTTTCTTGGTATTATTTCAACGTTTTTTGGCTATGCAAACAGTATGAGATTTCGTAATGATTGTTAAGTTGTGAGTACAACTCTAAAAAAATTGTTCAATGGGACCGAAGGTACAAATGTTATACTGCTCACCACGACCATACTCCGTGATTAAATACGTTCGTAATATATTAGTTATATAAAATCATTTAGCTTTATTATATTTAAATATTTCATAAACTGTTACATTGATGATCAAGACGCGCATTTCATATACCTGTCTTCACGTTTACTTGAAGTGAAGTTTAGTATACAGTTAGTTATAGGTACTATTAGTCTAATGCTGCGAAATGTGAATGTCAATGATTGTTAATTTTAAAACGTACTGCAAATATAGCAGACGATAAACGTAAATCTCATCTTATACTTAATACTTATACCTTGTTTGCACGTTTAATATTAAACTCCAAAAGGGGAATAAATATTCTGTTGTGTATTTGCAGTTATATACAGTAAACTTATTTATACAAAGTGTTAAAGTGTGTTTGTCAGAGAAGTTTCTGAATAATTCATTAAAGACTGGCAGAAAACATATGCAAAATGTTTATAAAAAGGGGAACTGCAAGATGATGTGCAACTTTATGTTGTTGGATGTCTGTTTAGTGAAATATGTGTGTTTAGTGAAGGATGAGTAAATGAAGTTTTTAAATACCCAAGTTACGTTGAATGTGATTTGAATTGGACATCAGAGATCTGAAAATCTTGGTATGCCCAATTTGATGGCATCTTCCTTTGATGTTGTGCTTGTGAATTTAAGAAATTCTGGCATTGTTACTTTATTCTGTGCTGTTACACAGCAGCATTCACATTAAAATGTAGCATGTATAAGTAAAAAAAAGGTGACGACTGTGATTCATTTGCACTGGAATGTTTGGATACATTTGTAATTCATCAAATATTAATCTTTGCTATAGTTCAACACTTTTTAATTAAGGAAATCAATCAGATTTTATTTTATAATTGAAGAGAATTGTGGAACTTCCAGCAATATGATGTTCTTTCAGGGATATTAATTGCCATTGTTCCTTCACTGATTTTTAATTTTGATTCTTTAATAAATTAATGTAGTGTTTTGAGTATTCAGAAGGGTTCCTTGTTCTTAAATTTATATTTGTCGAATGAAAAAATTATTTCTACCAGCATTCAATTACATGTCAGTAAAATGTGAACTACGATCGAGACACATTTCCAAGGTTTTTTACTGTTGGTTACAAATAATATCTATGAATCTTCAAGATTAGGCAAAATTAAGCTTGATAAGTCTCGGTATGAGAGATGCAAGTACATGAGTGAAATGCACGAATTGGTGTGGAGTCTAGCATTTTTAAAAGTATTCTTATGATTCTGAAGATTGCAAGCATACTTCGTAATTGTGTTTAAAAAATGCATTAATTCATATATCGCCGTACCCAATTTAATAAATTCATTTAATGATTTAAATTCAATTTGATTGTTTTCATCTTCAAATATAAAATAATAGCATTGTTTGCCAATCTAGGGAAGTAATTTCTGTGTATAATGTTGAGAGAATTAATTACTCAAGTCCTTTTTTATAGGAAGGTATTCATTTCTGGTTTTCAGCAGTGTTGCAGCATTTATTTTTGCTCTTCCCACTTGCATCAAATCTAAGTCATTCTCTTGATTATCGTAATATTTCATGTTCTGCATGTAAGTATATCTACAACTTGTGCCACCTAGCATGACAAAAATAATTTCAATTGCATTTAGTGATATGTCTTCCCCATAATTTTTTAAATTATTAATAATTTAAATATTTCAGGTGTATAACTTGACACCTAAAATAATTAATATTTATGGTTTTAAAAGTTGTTGCTTCAATTGTGCTAATGACTGCAGAAAACTTGTTGAATAAAATCATGTTAAAAAATTTTTCAAACCTTGCATTGCTGGACAAAATTGCTAATGACTGCTAGACAACTGATGACTACGATGACTAATTTTTAGGATCCAAGTATTTTTTTCTCTTTAGAATGAGTAAATTATAAAATGAGAAGATGATTTAGAATACATTCACTGTAATGTCATCTTAAAGAAAATGTATTTAGAAAAAACTTGTTAAAATACAAATTTTTGCCCAAGACATGTCAAAATATGAGGCAAAGCTTCTTCAAATGAGAAATTTGAACAAAATTTTAGGACAAGAAGCACGTTTAGATATGGTTGTCACTATTGAAATTATATTTTCTAATATTTTTCATCTGCCATTTTACAAAACCTATAAGCTTTGCTGTGCCTACTTAATACAATGATATTGCCTACACCAAAGTTAATACACTCGATGCTACACTTAATACACTTTACAACAAAATGCAACAAATAACACTTTCTGAAAAGAACATACATGTACAAAATAACACTAGCACTTTATAGTTTGGTTTACCTGATTTTGTGGTGTCTGGATTTCTCTGCTGTATCGATGACTATCTATTACTGCCTCAAAAAGTTGGGCGCTAGGCAATCTGACGAATGTCCCTCGGCTAATAATTTCCAAAATCGCCTGTTGGAGACCTCGCAGCTATCATGCTCTTGCGAGCTTGTAATACCTCAGGGCAGTGGGATCTTTTGGGGCGTTGAGAGCAAATCCAATAACAAGAACACATAATCAGTTAAACAGGGTTTAATAATGTTAAAACCCTACGGATCGGAAAGATGATGCCGACCATGCCGATTGCACACAATTGCGCTGAATTGTTGTGAGAAGGGAAATCAGTTAAACAGAATACCGGCAGATAGCACTGGCCTGGACGAAAATCAAGCGAAAGGAATATCGTAAGTTTGAAAATCGATCAATAGATAGCGCCGGGCAACGAGATTGCTACCTTCCCTGTCAGGCTGCTGGGCGGCGGCCGTCATGAGACGCCATTTGCCGAACCCATGTTGCCATTTCAACACTCATTGGCAGCGATTTCTATGTCTCTTAGTTCCGTAACAACACTGCGTTTAGGACACAGAGGCGAGTGTCCGCAGCCAATGAAAATCGTTCGACGGAAGAAGCGGGAGTTTAAAAGCTAAAGATGTGTTCGATTCGAAAACAACCCTACAGACCCACAGAGGCTATTGTAGACAGCGCAAGGGGAGAAATACTGATCTCAATAGGGGGGCAGTGTCCCTAGCGCCTCCCTGCCGCAGCCGCCACTGCTTAAAATATCGATTGCGATTTGGAACTAGTTTTTAAAAAAATGAATTAATTCTGTAATTATCACCATTATTCCATCTCCTCACATCTTATTTTAGATATAATTTACTTCTAAGGTCTTCCGTTATCATTCCACCTTACTCCAAGATCTTCCGTTGTCACATACCGGAAAGAATGAGCGGAGTATACGCACGAGTTCTTTTATCCTACAACTCTATTTTTGATCTCAAAACGGCGATTATCTGCTTTAAATACTTCATCTGGTGAGTCTAAATAATATACAATATAATAATAAATAATGTATTATTTAGAAAAATATGACACCCCCCCCCCCGAAAAATAATCTGCTGGATCCGCACTTGCTGTGACACCTCTCGTAACTTCGTAAGCGGAAGACGATAACACAGACCCTCGAATGTCATCGGAAGCGACCGCAGAACCAGCGCAATCTGGCGTCTCCCACGGCGACGCTTCAGGGAGAGGCGCAAAGCGATGACGGGGAAAGTTGAATTTCCATGACGCGATCTACAATTACTGGTAACATTGAAGGGAGTTTCATCTTGTAAACTAAAAGTAAATTATAATTTTGAATTTCTTGGTACTTTTTATGCATGTAGCCGCAGTTATCTACAGTGTAATTTTTGTTTATTATTATTTCTATTCACATTTATTCAAAAGTACCGAAATCAAGGGTAGACCTGTGAGATCGAAGTCGCTAGAGGAGAGACATTCAATACTGTCACAACCTCTGTTGTATAGACTACCAGGAAGACACAAGAGAGAGAACACAAATCTTTTGTGACAGACCAATGAAATTCTAAAAGTTTGTACATCTTATGTTTGTAACATGAAGAAAAGTATATTATGAAAAAGGAGTGGTTTTGTTGTCTCTGCGACTTAATGAACTGAAGAGTTGTGCATCGAATTATGTTTTTGATGGATCACTCACCGTCTCTTGTTTTCCATTTTCCAAGTAAAGAGATTAGCAGGCAACAATCTCCTTTTCCTCTTTCGAGATGGGGACAGAGATGTTGTTGTTGATGGTATTGTAAGCAATTCTGATGCAGAAGCAACACAATCATTGGAAGATCTAAAATATTATTGAAAATAAATGCTTACACTCACGTTTTTGGCCATTTTGCACTTCATGCACTACACTACCACGAATGTCGGGAGGCAAGTGAAGGACTTAGAGCTTGTCCCGGCTGGAACTGGGCCCCGCTGGTGGAAAACACCTGATTGGCGAAAACCTAGGCGTCGTGTACGTCGGCGGTGGATCTCGCCATCGAGAAGGGGAGGATCGATAGAGCTTGGCTAAATGATCTATTAGCATGCAATATTCGTCGCCTGGAAAATCTCCATATCACTTCGAGTTGGCGCATGCGCAGAGGGTCAAATATGCAGACGATTGCTGTACGCTAGGCCGTATTATAAATACTTACTAAAAATATCTTCAGTTCAATTGATATCCATTACATTTTCTTTAAAGATCCATTAACGATCTTGTTAATTTATTAATGAAGTTTTCAATCAAGAGAAGTAGTCCGGTCCTCAACTCTGAAATCTGAATCGAAAACGCCATACGTGTTCTATTACGACATGAATAAGCTAAATATGTACATACGTTAATAAAAGTTATTTAATTGTGTTATAAAATAATCATCTGTAATATCATCTGTATACTCAATTGAAAATATATTTCTGAAAATACTTAAATATGTATTAAAAATTGAAAAAAGGACGATAATTTTGTATAATACTGTTATTAATTTACTATAAAATGTGTGATAACTTGATACTGCCGCCCCACCCGGGAAAAAAACGAAAGCTGGCCAAAAGTCAAATAAGGTGCCAATTGCATATACAACATTTTATCGAGATGTTTTCGAGGTCGTTGAATCCGAATCTGACGTCACATTTGCAATTTTTCAAAAATTGTAATAAACCGAGATAAATAATACATCAGACAATTAATTTATAAATAATTATACATATATACAAAATATTATTTGTCTGACAACTAATCTAATTCCGATAATAAAAAAAAGTCTACAATGGATAGATCAGGATGTATCTCTGCAATATTTAGGAGTATTTGTCTTATCACTCATTTTCCTTCAATTTGTTAATAAGAAAGTGTAGACACGAACAATGACTCACTACAGCCCGGGAGATTTAGTACTGGCAGCTAGCAAGTACTCTGCAATACACAGCACACCGCCCACTGACCATTAAGCCTCCTCCACCCCACGACCAGGTACCTAAGCCCTTTGGTCCACTTGAACCTACGTAGTCGTTTTGTGGCTTCCAACTAGCTGGACAGAAACAGTCCACTTGAACGTCATGTTTTCTGTTATAAAATTTTATATGGTCAATTCCATTTCATTCAATTTCTTACATATATTCACAAATTACTATAATATTTAATTAACACTCTGCCATCTTTTCTATCTTTCATTTTTAAAATATTAATTTATTTTTAAAATTATATATTATATAATCATGTGCTATGATGATGTTGGAAACCGACGTTTGAAACTGTTTCACTTACACTTTTGTATCAAATACATTTGAAAAGAATATCCTTTCAATGGGAGTTCTTCAATAAAATCTAATGGTTTTAAAAACAATATTTAAGATATACATTTTGTTTATATTATTTGCCTTGTTCATAAGTATTCCTAATATTTATTCATTTCATTCAATATTCATTAAATATTGGCGCTGACGGACGTAAAACCTTTGGATTTATGCTAGTAAAATAATGAAATTTTGGGTTCCTTTCCAAAAACCAAATTTTTGGGAATAATAAATTGGTACATTATTATACCAAATATGTACTAATCATATTAATGCTTTGCACTTTTTGAGAATTTTTCACACGCTCGTTTTCCAATGAACATCTTATTTGTTAAATTTTTTGTTCTACAACTGAATTCGCAGATATCTTCCGGTAATTGTAAAGTATTTTATTAAAAAATATAATAATATTTTAAACATTGAAAAACTGTGGTAGAAGGCGGTAGTCTTAATTTGTATCCTGTAAGAAAATAAAATTGTAATGTAAATAAAATGACAGCAACTTTTAATATAAATTAGAACATTATCAATTTAAACAAATTCAGTAATAATTACTCATAAAACCGATCGGATCTTCAATAATAATAAACTATTTCTAGATATAATTATAGACTCTCAGAACAAAGTTAAGATGGACGCCGCGTTTTGAAACGCCAATCTTTCACTGAACATTTGCTTTGAAAATTTCAACAATTATTTTTATAATTTAATATATTTTCTCAACGTTTTGAATGAAGACAGGTAATTAATTATTATAGTACGTTAATGTCTCTTTAGCATTTTCCCAGTACTTTAATGTATAAATATTATTTAAACTCCTGGAAAATAATGATTATTGAACAGATAACAAATATATTAAAAAAGAAGTCGAACGGTAATTACACAATTAAGCGGATTAAAAATTAATTTCAGAAATACAATGACAACTGAATGTTTTATCTTCTTTGGATTGTTGTCAATACAAAGCAATTTGTAACTATAATAATAATAATAATAATAATGATAATAATTATTTTAAAAAAATTTAGTGCTTTGTTGGAAGTATTTGTGCATCAGGAAACAGCTGGATAAGCGACTGTAATTTTGTTAGCTCTCACCTACCGGCTCTTTGATGTACTAAATAGACTGGGTAAGAAAAATTACACTCGCCAAAAAAAATTCAACCACTTTTTATTCTATTTGATTATTAATGAACTGTCATGAGGATAAAGGCACCCCTCTCAATATTACAAGAGAAATTGGCAACTGGAAATTATGTATTCATCAAAATGATGGGTTTCATCCTTCCAGTGTGAAGATATTTGATTAGGTTAGAAGAAATAAGCAGCCACATTATCTTAATTTCATAGGACAATAGCTTCATACAAAAAAGTATTCCAAAATTATAGCGGAATCTACAACTTTCGGCCTACATGAAGAAAATAATAGCTTTTTTTGTTGCAATATTTTAAGGTAGTCAATAATAGGACCAATCATCATAGTCAGGATCAATAAGTATACGAATAAATTGCAAATCAAAATGTTTTATGGCATAGGAATGTTCTACATACTTCCAGGAATGTCCTGAATTTTCCAAAAGTTGATTTGCTTCTATAGTGTAGCTGCACAGGCTCCAAAAAGGTACTACACAAACTGGCTCGCACGTGGCACACGTCTGTATCGAAAGTAACGGCACTTCAGACTGACGGTGGGGCAAGATAGATAGCACGGCCTTCTAGTCAACGGCACTCTACGGAGAGATTCTTCCGCTTTAAATCCTCCCAAAGAAAAATCTAGTTGCTCACAATTTGGTTTATTACTTTTGGCCAGCGTTTTGCGTTATTTTCCCATAGTGCGCCGTACGATAATTGCACTACAATAACAGTCGCCTCAGTACAATATTCACATTTCAACTACTGGGTAACCCTACTGTAGTTATGCACTAGTTGTTCCCCGACTTTTCAGGCCTGTATCCACTCT